CCTGCCTGCAGGGCGGGCCAGTCCTATATAGTGCTGGCCCGTCCAGGAGGCTGCTCTTGCCAATGCCAAAACGTGCCAGACCCTGGCGTTGAAGCTCAACTAGGGGTTGTCCTGAAAACAGGCCCGAAATGGCCTGTGCTAAAACCCTGGTTTGTTGCCTGAGTTTCAGGGCAGGTTGAACTGATGAGGGCCCGGAAATGGCCCTCAGTTTCAGGCTGAAAACACTCAGGGCCGGAAAGGCCCTGATTTAGCCTGAAACGACACAGGGCCTGTAGGCCCTTGTTTTCAGGCTTTCGGGCTTAAACGACACAGGGCCTGTAGGCCCTTGTTTTCAGGCTTTCAGGCTGAAACGACACAGGGCCTGTAGGCCCTTGTTTTCAGGCTTTTGGCCTGAAAATGTCACGGGCCTGGAAATGACCCGTGCAGCCTGTTGCAGGCGCAGCATGTAACAACTACCTTACTCCGCGTTGGGAAAAACGGAATAAAGTAATATACGTCACACGCATTTTTCGGGCGTATGGACAAGGCTCGGCCCAAAGGGAAGTGTCGGGGCCTATGAACCCATTTGCTTTTTTTTTTTTTTTTTCCAAGGTAAACTTTTTTTTTTTTTTTTTTTTTTTTTTTTTGGGAGCGTCAGTCCGGTTACCGGTTACTATTCCCCCGGCAAGTCAAAATTGAATACATCATGAAACCACTCACGCTTCCGTTTGGCCGAAGGAACCCTGACCAGCATTGATTGCTCCCATTAGGAGGATTGTGCATGGGTCCTGTGGACCATCTCACGCCAAAATGTATAGATCATGCAACTTCGTCACTCTCAAAGAACTGTAGCCATCACTCTTAGACAAGGGTAGGAGAGAAGAATGCTGCATGACGCAGCTTATATTATCAAAATTATGTTTACAAAAAAATGCCAATGTTCCCTGAACTCAGACGCACTCCCAGCTCAGCACATATTCAGTCCCTAACGTATCAAGACAGCATGTACACTACAGCGCTGCCTCTGGAGATCACGTCTCAGTCCAGGTAAGTATCTTCCATAGCCCAAAGCTCTTGAACACCTTCTGATGTAGTTCCTTTCTCCCTCGTATGCATGAACACTCTCTCTTCTCTCTCAAGGACCTACTCTGAATGCATCTCACGGGTCTTCCTCTTCTAGTCTGTGCTAGGCAGCTATGGCTGCTCCTACTACGAACATCCTGGCCAGGCAGCTAAGGCTGCATCATCCTGCACCAGCGCCCAACCTCTGCCTTCAGCACCTCTTCCAGCTCCAGCGCAGCCTCCTCCTCCCACCAAATAGCACACAAGTGGCCAGCACTTCCATGCCAGTGAGGAATCTGCCACAAATGAGGCGAGCAGCCTCCTTTATAGTGCTGGATTCCACGTTCAGCATCTGAATTGGCACTTCGGCCCTGTCCCAGGCCCTGCATTGCATGTGTCCCAGTGATATCCCAGAAAAGTACTGCTGCTTTTTGGCATTCGGCCTGTATTTCGGACAGTAGGACTGGATCTGGACTGCCTACAGAACTTAATTCAGTATTGGGACTTTACAGTTATCTTGACCTTTGAACAGACACAACAAATTGACGAACAGACACACAACCTATTCGAATAGACACTTTATATTGCACGAACAGGCACTATCTGCACAGCCCTTTGACACACCCCTTCAGACAGTTTTCAGCATGCCTTTCCATAAGACTTTTCTTTCTTTTTGAGATGTGACTTTTGACCTTTAACAGATGTGTTTCTTAGCTTAAATTCAGATGTCCTTAGTCAGAGAACTTTGACTGTTGATCTGCTTTTCACGTTTCTGGATTCTGGCGAGATACCCCTTCACGCTGCTTCACATTTATGGGGTCTGACTCGGGTAAAAGCCCTTTTAGTTGACTGTCAGCTCGCCTTCCCCTGCAATCCCTCTCAGATCCTTCTGTGGGAATCTGTCAAATAATCTTAAGAAACAAGGATAGTGGAGAGTGGCCCGTGAATTGCTATTTCAGCCACCAATAGTGTCTTGTGACTCATGTACATGTCCTTATGTTGCCTGTGGGTCCTGCAGGCAGCCCTCAGCTTGTAGCGGTGGGCTTCTCCAGCTAGTTTCCGAATTGTGCCAGTCTTTCCAGCATATTCTGTCATCTCTTAATTGAGCCACTTTTCCTCCCACCAGCCACACTTTGACGAACTTGGAGAGAATAGTATTCTTTCTCTCGTCGTCCTCGGGCAGTGCCTGTTTCGTTTTGTTCCATCTGCATAGGATCTCCGCCTGAATCAGCGTCCTGGTTTCTGTCCAAACCTTCTCTCTTGGCGTCAATAGACCTTCAATCGTTCTGCTGCATCTCTCTTTCCATATAGCCCATAGTGTGACTTTCCTGATCATACCATACGATGCCTTCTCTGTGTTGTTGAGGTCAGTCGGGATATTAGTCCACAGTAGAAGTTGGATGGGGTGTTCAGGGAAGGACTTAGTAAACAGGGACTCCCAGAGATCCGATGCCCTCGCCCAGTATTCTGTTGCTTCTTTGCATTGGATTAAACAGTGGAGTAGGTCTTCCGGTTTGTTTTCTGAGCATATTGTGCATAGTTCGGAACTGTTGGGATCATTCTTCCTTCTTCGAATGTGGAGCCATTGGTTGACCGGAACTGCTACATAAGCTATCAGCCATTGGAGACTCCTAATTTTGACCGGTTTGATTGATTTATATTTCTTCCGTGGAATCTGTGTGATTTGTTCTGCCTCTTGACCGATTAGTTTTGCCCATCTGTTTTTGATTGTTTGTTCCAGATCTTTGGTTTTGATGAATAGTCTGTACCCCATCTTCACCGAGTAGTCTTGGATTTCTGTCTGCTTGTATTTGTTCACTCCTGATGTCCACGCCCATTCTGCTGGGTCGAATTCCAAATCTTGGATCGCTGTGTCCATCCTAAAGATTGATTTCGGCCAGGAACCCATCACTCTCACCTTTCTGAGCAGAAAGATGTCAAGATYTGTTCWTACTACATCCTTGTCTATGATGGAGGCCGRCCCATGCACCGACAGCGATATTGGGTAGGAGGTAAAAATTGYGACAGTGTTTGAACCTTGTTGTTTGTGTGAGAATTGATAGGCCCTTGAGGGGGGGGTCTCCTGTAGCCGAACCCCCCATTCACCTGTTTTCCATGTTGGTGGGGTTTTTAAAAGATCTTTCCACCCTTCCGGAACGTTGCTGATGATGGCCTGTAGATTCCTCTCCCGTTGGTGACAGCCCTTGAGGAGGGCGGCCAGGTCATTGTGTTATGAACATGATTGTCTGCCGAAATTTTATCAGCACTCACTCACAGGAACTCCCGTCCACGCCCATACATGCACGGAAGGAAGGGGAGAGGT